CACATGCATATATTTATATATCAGTTTTTGAGCTGTGAAACTTAGAAATATGAAGCAATAAATCTTCCAGAAGAAACTATGGGATAATATAGCTTTGGGGTGGACAAATATTTCTTAAACTGGACAGAAATGAACTGAAAATTAAGGGAAGAAATTTTAAATCAAGTTACAATAATATTAAGAACTTCCATTTGGCAAAAGGTATCTTGTTGAAAGGGAAGTCTCAGAGTAGAAGATCATATTGGCTATTAAATCAAGACAACAAAGGAGAAAATGAGCAAAACTTAAATATTTCACAACACAAATGTAGCTGTAGAGCACTGAGGGTAAATCAGTGTCATAATGCTTGTCTAGCTTCAGCAGTGCAAGAAGAAAGTATGTAAACAATTGTGAACATGTACTCAATTTAATAATTCATCAGAGAAATAAAAATGGAGTCCCAGTGAAATACTGCATCCCAACCATCAGGATGGCTCACATTTAATATCAAATGTTAACAAGACTCCAGAGCAATGGGAAGTCACACACACTGCCAATGACTGCTAATTAGTAGCAATGTTTTATAAAGCTGGCAATGTCTAACACACACACACACACACACACACACACACACACTATAGCAAAATATCTACTCAGGTACTCATATAATATAAATTTATATATTTGATTATGACAGAGAGTTGATTTCCAAAATATACAAAAAAAACTCAAGAACCTAGTTACCAAAACACCAAACAATCCAATTAAAACCTGGGGTATAGAACTAAATAGAGGATTCTTAATAGAGGAATCTGAAATGGCTGAAAGACACTTAAGAAAATGCTCAACATCCTTAGCCATCAGGGAAATGCAAATCAAAATGACTCTGAGATACCATCTTGCACCTGTCAGAATGGCTAAAATGAAAAACACCAAAGACAGTTTATGCTGGAGAAGATGTGGAGAAAGGGGCACACTCCTCCACTGCTGGTGCAAACTCGTACATCCACTTTGGAAATCAGTATGGCAGTTTCTCAGGAAAATGGAAATCAGTCTACCATAGGACCCAGCAATTCCACTCTTGGGCATTATACCCAAAGGATGCACATCCATACAACAAGGACATCTGTTCAACTATGTTCATAGCAGCATTATTTGTAATATCCAGAACCTGGAAGCAATCTAAATGCTCCTCAACTGAAGAATGGATAAAGAAAATGTGGTACATTTACACAATAGAGTATTATTCAGCAGGAAAAAACCCAAAACCAAAAAACAATGGAATCTTGAAATTCAAAGACAAATGGATGGAACTAGAAGAAACCATCCTGAGTGAGGTAACCCAGTCACAGAAAGACAAACACGGTATGTACTCAGTCATATATGGATTTTAGACATAGAGCAAAGGATCACCAGCCTACAATCCACACCACCAGAGAAGCTATGAAACAAGGAGGACGCTAAGAGAGTCATACATGTTCCCCCAGAGAAGGGGAAGGGGACAAGATCTCCTGAGGAAATTGGGAGCAGGGAGGAGGGGAGAGGGTTAGGAGAAAAGGAAGGGGGAGAAGAGGATGGGGGGAGAAACATGAGACACAAGGAAGATTGAGTCAGGGAAAGAATAGAGGAGAGCAAGAAAAGAGATTCCATAATAGAGGGAGCCATTGTAGGTTTAAAGAGAAATATGGCACCAGGGAAATGTTCAGAGATATACGGGGATGACCCCCAACTAAGATTTAAGCAATAGTGAAGAGGCTATCCTAAACGTCCTTCCCCTATGATGAGATTGATGACCACCATAAATGCCATCCTCGAGCCTTCATCCAGAAGCTGAGGGAAGCAGACACAGACACCCACAGCTAAGCACTGAGCTGAACTCCTGCAATCCAGTTGTAGAGCTGGAGGACTGATGAACAAAGAGGTCAAGACCAGGCTGGGGACCACACAGAAACAACTGACCTGAACAATGGGGAGCTCATGGACCCCAGTCTGATAGCTGGGAAACCAGCATAGGACAAAACCAGGACTCCTGAACTTGGGTGTCAGTAGGAGTCCTGGCAGTCTATGGGGCCTCTGGTAGTGGAACAGTATTTATCTCTAGCGTATGAATGGACAATGGGAGCCCATTCCTCATAGAGGGATCCTTTTTCAGCCTAGGAGAGGGCCTAGGCCCTGACCCAAATTATTCAACAAACTTTGATGATCCCCCATGGAAGGCCTCACCCTTTCTATGGAGCAGAAGAGGAATGGGATGGGAGTGGGTGGTGGGCATGGGGGGATGGGAGGGTGAGGGAACTGGGAGATATATATATAATATATATATGTATACGTACATATATATATGTTTCTAATTTAAATTCTTAAAAATGCAAAAGAAGAAAGGCATAATCAAGAAAGTCCAAAACCAGCATCATACATAACTTCTAGAAATTATAAACAGTGCCGTTTCCTACTAATAAATAAATGGTGGGGGTCTTCCACCCAACAGAGTGTCACTCAATAAATGACTGCTGTGCATGTCATCAAAAAGTGTCAACAATTTAATGTCAAGCAAAAGGAGATAGGCAAAAAAAGTACCTACTGTATAAAGTTATTTTTTTTTTGGACATGCATTGAACAACCATGATGATAGAAGTTACAAGACGAGATGTCTTTGAAGAACTAATGGCTTGGAGGATGCAGAGGGTTTCTGAAGTACTGAGTACATACTATGTCTTGAGTTGTATGTTGAATACTTGGGTGTATTTAATGGAAAAAAATGCAACTAACTGTATATGTAGGGCTTTGCGAACTTTCTCTGTATGTGCTTTGCTTAGACAAAAGTTTAATAAGCCAAAAAGAAGGCAAAACCTAAACGAAACCCTTATTATTACACTAGGCAAGATGAGCTCATGATAGTGACTCATAGGGACAGCCAGGCAGCAAGTGCCTAATTATGTTTGAAGTGTGGTAATGATAAAAAGGGAAGCAAGGAGAAGGATGGGTAGAACCAGGGTGGTTTGAATGTAGGAGAGGACCAAGTGTGAAAACCAAGGCACACCACGTTTCCCCTAGCCAGTCCTGCGTGCTCCCACTCATCCGTGGCACAGAGGTCTGGAACCTTAAGAAACATGCTCCCATTATATTCATGCATTAAACAGCCTCAGAATCCTGCTGCTTAGAAGCAAAAATGAAAGAAGAGGGAAGGGAAGATAGAGATATCTAATGTTCATGGAATGGCTTGCAAGGCTATTTAAAATTAGGCATGTGTCAGAGGACAGCCTCTGGGTAGAAGTGGGTGCTGTTGTATTAAAGGATTGCACCCTTCACCTATCCATCCGAAAGGGAAGTCTTCGCTGTAGCACAGGGCCTTTGGAGATCAGGACACTGAGCCATCCTCCCATAGCCTCATTTTTCTTTCCTCTGCCAAAGCAGGAGCCATGTACAAAAGGGAACTGGCAACTGCGGAGCCTGGTGACCTCCATGGGTGGTTAGACTGCTTCCGTAGCTCTGCTGGAAGTTTCCCAGCACAGCTGGCCTGTCCTGGACTCATTGTGGTCTCAGAAGGGCCGCACAGGTTAGAGCTGAACTACCAAGTTAAGAACAGAGCACTGCAGAAAGCCTAATTTTGTGGAACTCCTAGGAGGATTATCCCATCTGGGGATGTTGTCAGCAAGTGACTAGCATTTGTCCTGAGACACTGAGAAGGTGATGTCCCCAACCCAGTCTCCTTACACCATCTGCACAGTGTGTGAAATTGACCTTTCAGCTTGAATGAAGTGAAACAGAAGCTGACAAAGCTGGTTTGTCTTCCATCCTCCCAACCCTGAACTCCTTATGTTGAAGCCTTAACTCCCAGGACCTGTGTCTTAACTAGAGACAAGGCCTTTCAAGACAGATTACAGTAAGATGAGGAAATCGAGGTAGGTCCTAATCCAACACAACTATTGTTGTAATAAGAGAAAATTAGACACAAGCATGGGGCATGGCACACTGCGCATACTCTAGAAGACGGCCATCTACAAGCCAAGAGGAATGTGCTCAGAGGAAGATGACCTTGCCACTGCCTGGACCCTGGATCTCCAGCCTCCAGAATGAATTACTGTAATGTAATTTCCCTCACTCTGTAGCACTGGTTCTGGAAGCCTGAGGAATCCGTCTTTATGTTTCCTGGGTATCCTATCTCTGCTTAGTCTGTGAAGAGCCACAGTCCATTCATAGACACATATACACGGCTAACGGGTTTCTGTTTGTTTCTGTTTCAGACTTCATTCAAGTCCTTTGATACATACCCTTGTCTGGCAAGTCTTTGCTCTGAGTTTTAGATCATTGGCCTGACTTCTAACTATAGCCTCAGGTTCATTTTGCCCCTAGATATCCATGGTTTATATTCCACTTTCTGTCCCAAAGTAGGAAAGCAACTTACCAAGCCACCCTTCTCTGTCTGCATCCTTTGTCAAGCATGCCCAAGTGGGGTTGGCCACTTGCCAGAGACAGGGACAGTGTGAGGAAGGTTGAATCACTTTAAGATGTCAAACAACTGAGGCCATTCTCTCTCTCTCTCTCTCTCTCTCTCTCTCTCTTTCTTCATTCTCTCTACCACTTTCGGCTGGCTGATAAATATTATTACAGTTCAAAACAGAAGGTTGGAGTCGGCTTGCTTCTCACATTATTCGTGTGGGTTTTTCTAACAGACAGGAAGGATGTCCAACTGGAGGAGACAATCATTCTCATTCAGGGTGATCCTTGAAATGATCTGAAATTGCTATAGGCCTGTCTTCACTAGTCTTTACTGTCACAGTCAAGAAACCCAAGGACTATGTGGCGAGTGGCCATGTGCTAGGAAGGTGCACCAGTGGCTCTCATGGTTTAGGTGTTAGGATTGAGAGGGTCTGCTCTTTGCACCAAACCCTGTTGCTGTTTCCCATCATCCTCTTTGGGACAGTTGAGACTTAAAGCCAAGGCTCAGATGAGTCTGTCTGCCGTATCTCAAAAATGTCTGCAAGTGTCAGCTGGGTAGAAGACAAATAGTTTGGACTCACCTCAATGCACATCTGATCTGAGGAGGCGATGGCTTCACAGCTGGCTGAAAAAAGTGCCACTAAAAAGACACAGCTGATGTCTGGAGCCATCCCAGGTCCGGAGCAAGCCCAGCTGGGTAGGGTTATCTAATGCTCAGAGCCAAGCAGTGTAATCACGCTCTAATAGCCCTGGCAATTTGGCAGGCAGAGGGGCATTCTGAAGGTTGATCTTAGACAGAAATGCTGTGAACTGCTCAGCATTTATGGATCTGTGCTGCAAAAGAAAAAAAAAAAAAAAAGGAAGTTCTTTTTGCATACCAACCATCTCTTGGCCAAAAATAACTGAGAACCCTGCCCCAGGATGGCCCAGTGCATTTCCTGACCAGTGTGGACCAGTTGTGCAGCCCTTAGAGTCTCACTGTGATGCTGTGGTACTTCCCATTGGCCTGAAGCCAGTTTCAAAGGTTTGGCCTACTCTCCTCTTGAGGGGCTAGAAATGTTGAAATCAGCATCACACTAGATATCACTTTGCTAGCTGTCCTTTTGGGTGACTGGGGGAAGTGTGCTGGAGCTGGTGGGCAGGAATGGAGAGCTCTACTCCAGCAGACAGGAGGGCTGAGAAACTGGGAAGAAGGGCAGGAGGTGACAGACTCAGCGGTCCTGCTAGCTGACTCTCCTTGGACTTCTCCCGATCTTCCTGTGGAGGGAGATTACGTTCCCTCTCACCCTGGTGATTTAGGAGTGCTGTTTTAACAGCTCAGGTGGAAGCCCTCAGCACTGGCTCAAGTTAAACAAAACCCAACTTTAAAAGACATAGTGTCCTGGCCAAGGGAGCAGAAGTAAGAACTCCAGCTTGGGGTCCCTTCTGCCTTAGAGACCGTTTTGAAGCCTTTGAATGTACCTCAGTTTGGTAGAGTGATTGATTAGCATGCACCGGAAACCCAAGTTTAGCTCCCAGCCCTCCCACAAAAGAGTTCTGGGTATATGCCCATAATTTCAGCATTAGGGAGATAGAGGCAAGAGAATGGGCAGTTCTAGGTTATAAGGATTCGAGGCCAGCCCAGGCTATAGAAAACCCTATTTAAGTGAGGCAGGGGGAGGGGAGATAAAAAGAAATAGAGAAAACACTTTGAGAGGGTGGTTATTATTAGGAGGGTCAGGGTACAGCAAGGCAAGAGAAAGTTCAAGCATTTTCCCAGTAAACTTAGCTACCACAGGCCTTTTCTATCCTCAAACCAACTGGGACATGGGACATGGGGACAATCGGTGTCACTGTTCTTCCATTCTACCTATGAGAGCCTTGTTCCTACTTCAGACTCCACAATGACCTTAGATACCACTGTTCTGTGTCGCCAGCATCAATAAAGTAACCAAAAGTGGTCAAAGTAGCTACCACTTACCTTACTAAGCATTTGTTAGCCAGCAGACCAGACTTTATTTTGGTTTAGTCACATTTCTCTATCCTACAACATTTCTATGTTTTCCTTCCTTCCTTCCTTCCTTCCTTCCTTCCTTTCTTTTTTCTTTTTGCTCATTTTATAGATATAGAAACTGATGACTTAGAGAAATTAAATGACCTCTCCAAGGCTATACCACCAAGAGCCTGGTAGAGCTGGGCTTCAGATTCAGGTGGTCTTACAGATGAGACAAGCATCTACTCTCTATGAGGAAGCAAATGGCCTCCTAAAACAGCTGAATCACAGCCAGGGAAGAGAATTCACCTGTCAATTTTTTTTTATTTCATTTTGAGTTTTTGAGACAGGGTTTCTCTGTGGTTTTGGAGACTGTCCTGGAACTCACTTTGTAGACCAGGCTGGCCTGGAACGCAGAGATCCACTTGTCTCTGCCTCCCTCCAGAGTGCTGGGATCAAAGGCGTGCACCACCACCTAATGACTTCACCTATAAATCTTAGCAGAGACTGCAACTGGGCCTGGAAAGCTTCTCATTTGGGCTCCATTTTTTGACTTCTCCCAGTACCTAGGTATTTCCATAAAATCCCATCCTCATCAACAAGTATACCTCTGAAGATGCTATTTGCAAAATGTGGTCTAAGCCAATAAAGATGATGGCAGGCCACTTTACTTCAAAGAAGGGGTCTGGTTCTAAACCTCGGGCCCACTGTTTACCAACTGAGGGACCTCCCATACCACACTTCTGAGAGCAGTTTCTCCTCTGAAAAGCCAGCGCTGCCCTGCTTACATCACAGAGTAATTATGAGGATCAAATGGGATCATATGTAGGAAAATGCTTCCTTAACCTTGAAGGCCCCACACAAACATAAAGAATGTGAAGTGTAGTCTGCTGTGAACCACGACTCCAATGTCATGTAAATATCACTCTCTGGAAATTGTCTCCCACCCCAGAGACACTGAAAAGCCATATTACTTTCTGTCTTAAAGAAAGGTTTGATGGCTCCGTTAAGGCCCTAAGATTTTGTCATTTTCGGAGGCCACATCATTTGCATATGATTTGCGTGCGTTTGCATAATGGATTCAAAAGACTCACTGCCAGTGTATGAGAGCAAAAGAAAATAAATGAATATCAGTGACCTTCTGCCACAGCATTCAAATCAAATATTCAGGGCATAATACCCTGAAATATGAAATAGATTAAAATTTAAACTATTGCAAACAGATAGGAAGATAGGTTTTAGAGTTCAGACGAAAGAATGAAACCCTTATTTGGTTCCAGATTGTAAAGAATCACATTGTCCTAAAGGTCACCCCATTCAAATGCTTTTCATGCCTCAGTTCTCCCCTCCACAGCCCTTTGCGACACTGCTGAGGTTCATCCAAGATGTACTGCACTATTTTCCAGTCCAAATGCCTCAGTGACAGAAAACTCACTATTTCTCAAGAAATTGTTCTGGCCAATTTAGCTGTTTTTATATAAGCTATGGTCTTCTATTTAACTGTAAAAAGAACTTCCCTATACTGTACCCTCAGAGTTCCTGGTTTCCTCCAGCTAGCAAGTGAGTAAATTCAAGCCCTTTCAAACTTATCAGGCCTATGGGCATTTAAATAACGATTCTTCCCCTTGTTAGGTTAAAGTGTCCAGTTCCTCTGTGTCACAAGCTCACACATTGCTGCTCCTGCCAGTCTGCTTAGGAATGCTCCCCAGATCACAAAGAACATACTGACTTGAGTTTGATTTCTGTCTTTGTCACTTAATGAAGAGATTAGACTGGTTTTTCTTTTCTGTAAAAAGTTTTGTTTTATTAACTACTGATATATGTTTGATGTGCTTGGGATCATGTGGAGGTCAGAGGACAATTTTGGGGAGAAGTTCTTTCCTTCCATCTTTATGTGGGTTCTTGGAATTGAACTCAGGCTATCAGGTTTGTGCAGCAGGCACCTTTAGCCACCAAGCACCCGCCCTGGCCCTGGGCTCCTTTTTTCAAATAAGGAACTTCTTCATTTAAAGCTCCATTGCTCTGTTTCAAAATTATAGTTCCCAACTTACTCATGTAACAAAGTTGGCTTGAGCAAATACAATGGAGTTATACTTGCTGTGTGTTGACAATCTGCTCTCTCCTTCTTCCTCCAGATGGTATTGCTTCTTCTTGGCAAACAAAAACTAGAAAGGGCTAGCTGGAGCAGGGGGATGGGGCTATCACATTCTAATGCCAATCTACTCAAGAGTGCTGTGATGGGCTGGGGTGGCCCAGAGGAGGTAGAGCAATCATGATCCACTGAGAATCATTTCTTTCAGAAAGAGGTCAGAAAAGACACTGGGAACATTCGTTACTATTGGCCACTTACCATCTCAGTAGGGAGACGGCCCTGTACAAGGCATGACTTTTCATAAAATCCAGGTGTCCTTATAGGAACTATTAACATGGATTTACATAAACATTCATATATATGTAATGTATATGCATGTAACATATATGTAATATATTTTATCATTATTATTATTGTTGTTGTTGTTGTTGTTCCACTGAGGTCCCACGGAGTTCATCCTTGATGGTTAGTAGTCACTCAGTGGATGACTCTAGAGAACTTAACATTTTCATGTCTGGTGAGGTCTTTGTGGCCACTTTAGTGCTTCTAAGTTAGTGGTTCACAGCCCATGATTTGAGACTCCCTTTAGGGGAAAATGAATGACCGTTTTCACAGGGGTCACATAAGACTATCAGAAAACATTGATATATACTTTGTGATTCATAAAAGTAGCAAAACTATAGTTATGAAGCAGTGGGGGTCAGCACAACATGAGGAGCTGTATTAAAGAGCAGAAGCATGAGGACAGTTGAGAGCCACCACTCTCCATCGTTAGCATCTAAGTGTGACTTAGGATCCTAGAGACCTAGCTTGGCTCTTTGAGCCCTTTCCAGGTGGTTATGCAAAGGCTAATTTATTTTCAGGAATATATATGCTTTGTGATCTAAATGGGAGAAACCCTGCATGAGTAACGTCTATTGATCATGTGAACAGTGGTAGATGCTACCAACGACTTACTGTTTTCCCCTGTTTGTTCAGTTTTGCTTCTGCTTTTGACTCAAGCCTGCTTCCTCACCCCATTGCAGGCCCCGCCCCCAGCAGATGGCTCAATGTACCTGGTTTTCTAAAAGTATTCTTGAATATTTGAATATGCTCTATGGTCAAGTTTACCTCAGGTCATTATATTTCTAAACAACTTTCCTAAATTGCTTAGCCACTCGTGGTGATACAAAGTGTACAAGCATTAAGGCCTGAAGTAGAGCTCCCTGAAAGCGACTCCCTCTCTCTGAGGGTTGTATGGTGTGCCGCTCCATGCCATGTCTAAATACCTCCTGTTCCTTTGCAGATGACAACGCTGTGAAGTTATCAGGCTGTACGGAGCCACTAACACTGGTCACTTCTTGAGAGGTGACACACATGGCTTCCCTCATGTCCTGCTTGATTTTGTAGGGAGGAAAGGAAAACCTCTCCCCTCTCAGCTCCTGTGTGTGGAGCCTAGGAGCTGAACTAATGGAAGACAGCTGAGCAGGCCGTAGAGTGCTGAAATCTAATTTGATGTTGATATTTTTATGTCGTACATGGAGAGCCATAGGAAGAAAAAAAAAAATCCTCCAAATTCTAAAGAAACAAAGAAACACAGGGGATCATATACCATTTTAATGACAGTTATTAAATTATGGAAAGATGATAAGGCAAAAGCTGCTTGGAATAGGAGCTATAAGGTGTAGTCAAGAATCTAGCAAATCTCCTGGATTCAGTCAGTGGTTCTCTGACTCTGCTCCGATGGGAATGCCTCCCTGTTGGTGGAGGGAGGAAACTTTCCTTCTGGGTAATG